AGACCTGCATAAATACTGGGCAGGTAGCCCTCATTAAACAGACCACTGCTTGACCCTCAACACGGAGCCTTGTCTCGTCTTTGGGGGGATTTACTGAATGCTGATAGAGACTGATTGCTAGGAGTGTAAGCCGCTTGGATGCTTTTCCTATTCGTCTGCTAGCAGCTATTCGTATGGTTCCAGTTCGTGAGTTTGGAGTGTTATATTGTATGCCGTTCGGGAGTTTGGAGCATTTCCTTACATGCGGTTGGTGAGTTTGGTGTTCTACAGTAGCTGTGCCTGCATCTCTGAAAGGGGACGATTGCCTAAACGGTTTTAACCCCTTGTGTGCTGAAACGGTCCGTTACAGCTGTATTTATTTCCTTGGATTATTTTATGCTATTCCTGTTACCCAGCAGAGATACTGTGGATTATACTACCTCTCCGCTACAATTGGTGGCAAGCGACGGGATTGAAACTACACAGCAAAGCAACGGTCGGCAGAAATTGAAACGAATAGAGGAGAAAGAGCAGCAATTCGGGAGTTAACCCATTCGGATGAAACCGGAGCCGGGAACACGTGGGAACCCACGAACGGCCGGTGAATGGGAACGAATTATGCTCTTTTGAAACGAAGCACAATAAAATAATTACTTGAAGCAAGAAGAGCAATAGCCAGCAACAAGGCGAAGGCTATCTTGATTGCAGAGCTAATGGAAGGAGACAGAGCAGCAGCTGCTGCAGCACCTCCAATGGAGGAAGATCAACGGGAATTCGCAAAAGAATTCAGGAGCAGGATGGCTTTATTCCCAACCCCACCATCTGAAGAAATGGTAAACAGGATCTTCGCAGATGTGCAGGAATACATCATGCTCAGAGAAGCGCAGAGAAATCAACAAGCCGGAGAAAGAGCCACGACACCGGTCAACCTTTTCCCAGGGAAAGCCAAAATTCCCTACCACGCCTTCAAAAGCTATTCAGAGGCTGACAGTGGCGTGGATGACTACCTGCAGGATTTTGAGAGGCTGTGTTTACTACACGACATCAGCGAGGCGGATCGGGTACCTCTACTAGCAAGGAGACTATCCGGTTGCGCAGCTGAAGGGTACCGGGCTGTGCCGGACGAGGATAGTAGAGACTACAACAAAGTAAAAAAAACTATTTTAGCCCAGTACGCGATCACCTCAGAGGCATACCGCATAAAGTTTCGGGACATTAAAAAGCCAACGAAAGACACCCATGTAGAGTGGGCACACCAACTACAGCGAGCTGCAAAGGGGTGGTTGGAAGCCACCCAGGTTAACACGTTGGAGGGCCTGTTCCAATTGATGGTCATGGAACAGTTCTTCGACGGAATACTTGCCTACCTACAGAATTGGGTGAGGGACCGAAAGCCGCACACCCTGCAAGAGGCTGCCAAGCTGGCGGATGAGTTCCAGGATACCCGGAGGGACCAGCACACCCAAAACCGCCCAGTGTACAACCCCACACCGACGATACCAGCAGTGACCCCCGCTATCCAGCCACCACCTGGCGTAAGCCAAAATACCTACCCCTCCAGGTACTCTGCACTTCCGCCAATTCGGTGCCACACAGGGGCACATACAGCGGAACTCTCCACGCAACCGACCCAGGCCCAGCTGGAATAATGCAGCACCAAGTAACCGAGCAGCGGTACACTGTGTTCAAACAGAACAGTATGGAAAAACTGAGGCTGTCACTCCCATGGAAGAACTGCTAGGAACACTGCATGAGGTGAACCCCATCCAGGCCACCTTAGATAACCGGCAAGGTCACCACCAGGAGGTACATATGGAGGGGAAAAAGGTACAAGGACTTCGTGACTCTGGGGCTGTATCAGTTCAAGGTCAGGCCATTCGGGATGAAAAATGCCCCGACTACCTTCCAGAGGATGGAAGTGGGTTCCAGGAGTACGCGTGCGCATATTTGGATGATATCGCCATTTTCAGCTACTCCTGGCCTGAGCACCTGACCCACATAGGAGCCGTACTAGACCGGATAAAGGAAGCCGGGCTGACCCTCAAACCCAGCAAATGTATAGGGATGGCAGAGGTTCACTACTTAGGACACAGAGTAGGAAGCGGACAGCAGAAGCCAGAACCTGCTAAAATAGAGGCAGTCACCCAGTTGCCAACCCTTCACACCAAAACACAAGTACTCGCCTTCCTAGGGACCGCAGGGTACTACCGGAAATATATGGCCAACTACAGTGCCCTAGCCAAAACCCTCACTGATTTAACTCTTAAGAACCTCCCCAAGATAGTAGTCTGGGCCCCAGAGTGTGAACAGGCATTTCAGCAGCTCAAGACGGCACTTGTTAACTCACCTGTACTTTCTGCTCCTGATCCAACTAAACGTTTTCTTGTCCATAAAGACGCTTCTATGTTTGGATTGGGAGCAGTACTGAGCCAAGTCGGAGCAGATGGCGGCGAACACCCAGTAGCTTAACTAAGTCGAAAACTTTTACCTCAGTTGACTCCCAGCCTATGTGTCGTCTAGTTCTTGGGAGGGAAGGATTCTTACAGCGCTACCGGGATTATTGTATGCTGTATTTATTTCCTTGGATTATTTTATGCTATTCCTGTTAACTATACTACCTCTCTGCTACAGCCAGTCCTTCACATTGCTGCTCCACTGAGGTGGTTCTGGCCGAGAGGTCTCTTACCTCCCTCTTGATCTGTTCTGCTGTTGTTTGCCAGGTAATTATTAGTTTTGTTGCCATTCCCTCCATGGCTTTTTCAAAATAATCTTGTGTGAGACATTCTGCGGGTTGGGATGTTTCTGATGTTATGTTGCTTGCGGCATGGCAGCGTCGAAGTCGTCCGCGCCATCTTGGATAGCCGCCCGTGTGGTCTCGTTTGCAGACGATGATTTCTGTCCAAAAAAGCTAATTTTTTCTGCTTTTGTGGCAGATTTATTTGCCTTAGAGGAGGCCGTTGTGCTCATAGGTGTGCTTGTGGTTTCAGCTATGTTTTAACGTAAATTGGAAGGAGCCCATGTGTCAGAGCAGATTACTGAGCGGCCATCTTGCTTGGCGGTTAGCCACACCCCCCAGTTCTAGTTCTTTAATAGAATGTCTAAGTGCATTTATTTCTGTGAGTTTAGAGTGTGTGGGGTTAGCTTTGTGCTGTTATTCAGCTCTATGTTGAGCTGTTTGTAGTTTTTTTAAGAGTTCTGTTTTATGCTTTTTTTGGTATGTGGCCTCTTTAATAAGATGCACCCGCACTACTGCTTTATGGACTGCCCATACTGCTGTTTCTGGTGGGCTCACCTCTGGTGTATCATTTAGTGGGAAGTAGTCCTTGAGGATTAAGTTAGTCTTGCAGCAAATTTTTTTGTCGCCAAGGAGGGATGTGTTCAGTTTCCACGACCAGGGTATTTGAGCCCACCGAGAGTGACGATGTCTGCATGGTCTGTCCACGTTATATTATTGATGTTCGACTGTAGGACGTTGGTTATCCCGTGGCCTTTTAGCAGTAAATTGTCGATCCTTGAATATGTGTCATGTGGTGCAGAGTAGAATGTATAATCCTGCATGTCCTGGTATTGGAGTCACCATGCGTCTAGTAGTCCCATGTGAGAGAGGAACGTGTGCGTAAGTTTATCTTGTGTACCCCTGCCCTGAGATCTGGGTACCCCTTGTTTCGCGCTCCTGTCGGCTGCCGGACACGGCACTGCATTGAAATCTCTACCAACCATGACCACACCCCCTCCTGCGTTTTGGGTCAAGGTGGTAAGAGCGTCCCAGTATGATGGGTCTGGGTCATTTGGTGTATAAGGTACCTGTCAGGGATACATAGCTATCCTCCAGATCAACCTGTTTGCCGGTTACCTGTAGTGGGCACTGTCTGTGGACTAGGATGGCCACTCCTGATCTCTTTCTCAGTGCACGTGTTTCGTAAGTCATATTGTACGTCCTGTTATGTAGTCTAACTGGTGCCGACCTAGGGAGGTGCGTTTCTTTTATGAGTGCTATGTCTACTTTCTTAGCTTTGAGTTCCCTCAGCAATATGCGGCGCTAATTTAGGGTATTAAGGTCCATTACGTTCATAGATATTATCTTCAGAGCCATGGGAATCAGGTTGTGACTAAGTTCGATGGTAATGCTTCGTGGATGTGGACTATGGTGTGATATTCGAGGCCCCACAGTGTCGCGGGGACACAGCAGCAATGTATAAACCATTGAAGCAGTACATATACAAAATAGTATATAACATAATATACAACGCAAAACAGAAAAGTCTGGTCTTACACCTTGCCAGAGCAGTCCGGGGGTGCAAGCTCCCCCTCTCAATGACTACAAGGTCCTCGTCAAGGGAGGTGGCCCCCATCCACAATCCTCCAAAGTGAAGTACTCATGGTCATCATTCAGTTCACCTTCCTGTACAACTAGGAAGTACCACATCCCCTTCCCCCCAGCATCAGATCCCCCCAGATCGTGCTTGTCAAGACCTTTGGTCCTCTATCTGGGTTATGTGTGGCACTGCTCTTCACCGAAATACCCTCACTCTGTGTCCCCTCTGTATCTAGGGTACCCTGGCAGGCCCAGTATGCTCGGTGTAAAAGTTTGTGTGCCTTCCTGGTAGGTGCTAGTGTGGGTTAAGTGAAGCGCCCACCCCGGTTAGCTCTGTCTCCAGCGAGCGCTATTCTGGGATCACCCTCCCTCAGAGTATAAGCTTAGGGTAACTATGTACATTTGTTTACATGTATAAAAGCAAGTTAGAGGCATCACCACCTATCTTGTGTGTGTGTGTGTGTGTGTGTGTGTGTGTGGGGCCAAGCACTAATCTGAGTCATGGTGCTTCAGGAGTCCCGATAATGGTAAGGTTATGCAGTCCATCAGTGGGAAGGCAGTAAGTGCAGCGAGAGTTCAGGAGGAGCTTTTAGTTGCATCTGCTAGATTCTTCTCCTACGTCGTACCAGTCCCATGGTAGGGGGGACTGTTTGGGCATCGGTGCTTTGGGCACTGTAAAGCCTTGGGGAATTGTGATGGACAGTCCTCAAAGGAAGGGGTCTGGCTCCTCTCCCGGTAATAAAGTGTGGGACTTACCAGCTTGGAAGGCCATCAATTTGAAGTGGTGACCCCAGGTGTAACGAATGTCGTTCTGATGCAGCAGTTCCGCTATTGGTTTCCATTCCTTTCGACGCTGTAAGGTTGCTGGATATAGATCCTGGTATATAGTAATTTCCGTATTCCCGTACTGCAGTGTATTGTCCCTGCTATATTTCACAATAGCCTCCTTGGTGGTAGTAGTAGTAAAGTGGATAATGACGTCACAGGGACTGGCTCCTTCAGACCTTTTGATCCTTAGCGCTCTGTGGGCCTTATCACCCATCGTTCATTGGGTATGTCAGGAAGAAGGTGTTTAAAATAGTCCTGCATTGCCTGTGCCAGGTTTTGGGAGGCCTCTCACCCGCAAGTTATTGCATCTTGAGCGGTTCGATAAATCCTCCACTATCAGTTCTAGGTTGTCTATTTGGTGTGCCATAGCATCAGAGTGGATCACCACTCCACTATGGTTTCCACATGTTGCTCCAGATCTGTTGTCCAGGCCTGTATCTCTGATTTTACCTCTTGGGTGTTCCGTGTAATTTCCGCCGCCAGATAAGTTTTAACTTCTGTGAGTTTCTGGAGGATTTGTTCTGCGACCGCATGCTGTAGGTCAGGGTTTTCTCCCTCTGCCACCAATTCCAGGGAAAGTGAGCTGCGCGGGCTTACATGGCGGCCATCTTGCAGGAGCCGCGTGGGGTGCATGGCCACAAACAGCTCCATGACGGAGTGTGCTGATTCCCCACGCTTCCTCTGTGGCTGTTTAGCTCCTGAGCCCGGGCTGTACCGATGTATATATTTTTTCAACTCTTTATTCTCTGGGGATATAAATCTGAAATCTTGGTAGAAATAACCGCTTAGTGGATAAGCTCCACTGGAAGCCAATTAAAAAAAAATATCGCCTTGACTGTTTCCATGGGCGTCCGCAGGAATTTTTCCAGGGGGGGGCATAATTGCAATGACATCCATGCTTGGTACCTTTTTGACAGTGTCATGAAAGGGAAGGGGCATAGCCATTATCACATAAAGCCAGGGTGAATAGCGTTTTCACAACTATGGTGTCAGGAATATATGTTTGTATTCCTGACACTATAGTGTTCCTTTAAGCAAATTAAAGGACCATTCTGGTCACCATAACAACTTCACCTAAATGAAAATGCTATGATGCCAGGAAGCCCCTGGGTGCTCGCTTTCCTTTAAGGGGTTAAATCACTCTCAAATGGTTTAACCCCAAAGGCTTCCTCCAGCTCCAGGTCGCTCAGTGGTATTTGGCTTCTGAAACAGAGTGTCAGGAAGTGCAGATTGACGTCAGGCATGGGTGCCGCTGATTGCCTAGAGTGGACAGTTGACGCTCTAAGCCAATCGTTAGTTCCCGGTTCATAAAATATTTGTACTTTTTTATGAATGGGGAGCTACTGATTGGCTTAGAGTGCCAGCTGACCGCTCTAGCCAATCAGCAACACCCCTACCCAACGGCACTCTGTGCTTCCTGACACTCAGTAAATAAAAGTGAACACATTAATACTGATATTTTTTTACCTTTGGAGATGAGAAGGTCCAGCGTTTCCCTGCCAGGCCCAGGTACCAAAGCCTTATGATGTGGTGTCCAGAATAAAGTGGAGGGTTCACTTCATTTGTCCTTCCTGCTCCAATCTCCTTCATTTGACAGTCTTTTTTTTATCTTCTGACACTGTTTTCTATCCTTGGCCCCTTCTGCTATTTTACCTTTCTGCTACTTTCTGCTTATTTTGCACCCTTCTGCTCCTTTCTCATTCTGATCCCTTTCTGCTCCTTGCAGACCCTTTCTGCTCCCTTTTCTACTTTATCTTTGTGCTCCTTGCTGTCCCTTTCTGCTCCTTCTCCTACTTTACCTTTGTGCTCCTTCTGATTCTTTCTGCTCCTTTACCTTTGTGCTCCTTCCTGCTCCTTGCAGGCCCTTCCTGCTCATTCTCCTATTTTACCTTTGTGCTCCTTCTGCCCCTTCCAGCTCATTTCTGACCCTTTCTGCTCCTTCTACTTTACCTTTGTGCTGCTTTACCTTCCAGCTCCTTGCTGACCCTTCCTGTTCATTTCTGTTCCTTTGTGCTCCTTCTCCTACTTTACCTTTTGTGCTCCTTTCTGTCCCTTCCAGCTCCTTGCTGCCCCTTTCTGCTCCTTGATGTCCCTTCCTGCTCATTTCTGTTCCTTCTCCTTTTCTTACTTTACTTTCCTGCTCCTTGCTGACTCTTCATGTAGGCTGTCTCCCCCATCCCTCACTTCCATTGGCGTGCGCACGGGGTGTGTTGGGTGTGCATGGGCACACCCTAATCCCCGCGGCATGCCAATGGATTGAGACCGGCAGTGGAGATCTCTGGATCTCCCCGGTCGGCTCATGCAGAGCCGACGCTATCCGAGCGGCGGCTCTGGTCTAAGCCTCCATGGGCCGGTGGGGAGATCAAAGTTCTACCTCACCGGTCCACAGCAGCATGGAGGGAGGGAGGCAGCAGAGAACCCGGGCTAGAGTTCACTCTCCACTGAACCACCAGGGAAGGCAGCAGGACTGGGACATTAACTAATCTGCCCCCACCTCCACCCAAACATACAGCACACACACACAGCACCTACACACAGCCCACAAACAGCACCCACACACATACATCACCCTCGCACACACAGCACCCACACACACCCAGCACATTAACAGCATCCTCACAAACACACAAACACACAAACAGCACACTCACACACAAACAGCACCCTGACAAACACACAGCACACAAACAGCACACTAACAGGACCCGAACAAACACCCTCACACACACACAGCACACTACCAGTTCCCTCACACACTGCATACAAACAGCACCCTCACAAACACACACAAAAACACGCTCACCCACATAGCACACTACCAGCACCCTCACACAGCAGTGTATATATATATATATATATATATATATATATATATATACATACACACATACATATACATATTGCAATAGGCTGCGCATGCCTATGCTCACTTCCCTAATCTATAGGCTGCTGCCCCCCTCCCCCAAATCTATAGGCTGCTGCCCCCTCCCCCAAATCTATAGGCTGCTGCCCCCTCCCCAAATCTATAGGCTGCTGCCCTCCCCATAGCTGCTGCCCCCCAAATCTAGGCTATCTCAAACCCTCCCCCATCCCTCACTCCCCTGCTTCCCCAAAATCTAGCTGCTGCCCCTCCCCAAATCTATAGGCTGCTGCCCCCATAGCCTATCTCAAACCCTCCCCCATCCTCACTCCCTAATCTATAGGCTGCCCCCCAAATCTATAGCCTATCTCAAACCCTCCCCCATGCCTCACTCCCCTAATCTATAGGCTGCTGCCCTCCCCAAAATCTATAGGCTGCTGCCCCCCCAAATCTATAGGCTGCTGCCCCCCCAAATCTATAGGCTATCTCAAACCCTCCCCCATCCCTCACTTACCTGATCTGTAGGCTCTCTGCTGGCTGCATGTGTTGTTCCCGGTTTCAATCAGCAGAGAGAAGCAGGGATAAGATGCAGCTTCCTATCCCTGTCTCTCTCCATAATCAGCGCCACCTACTGGCCGGCGCCGGTATTGTGGTTAATTTTAAATCTCACACGAAAAATATCTGAACAAGCTGAAAAATCCAGGGGGGGGGGCAAGTGCCCCCCCTTGCCTTCCCCGCGGACACCCATGACTGTTTCATTAAAAAACAGCATGACGTTGGGTGCTTTCCCTTGTATTTCCCGTACCTGGATGTTCTCAAACTTTATTCCAATATCTGATAACTCCTGACTCCTCTAGCCTACTGTGCTCAGGATTTTGTGCTATCAACTGGTTATCTCTAGCTGTTTTTTTTTTTTTTTTTCATATTTGTTTGTGCATTGGGTTATTTGTTATTTTATACTATTCTATTACTGGGCTCATGATATGGAGGGAACATGTGCCGGCTGACAAATATGCGGTGTGACAGATCCCTCTGTCTTAGAACTATATTGTGATCCCTGTTGATTCGTGTGGATTTGTGTAATTGCCTGCCTGTACTTCCCTTTTCATTTATTTTTTAATCTACCAAACAAACTGCCGAATGGCCTGCCACCCAGAAGAGAAGTGTGCTGCTGGTTAACCTATTGGCCTCAATTTGAACGTTGTGGTTAACCGCAGACACCTCTTAATTGAAACCGTATGCTGGGTGGTCGTCGTTCGTATGCCGACCATGAGGCAGCGGCCATCTTAGACGCACGAATGAACAGCGGTGTTCGTCGACAAACTTATGGAACCCAAAACTGACACTTTTTCTCCTGAATACCGCTGAATCCGCCGACCTCCCTTTTTTGTCATCTGGCATACGAACACCGGTCCATTCGGGATCTTTATTTCACGAATGGACTTAAGCCAGATAACCATCCCACGGAGCCATTCGTATACCGAAAGAACAGTGTGAAAGACTTTGGCTCCATGGCGATTGAACTGTGTGTATTGGATCTGAGCGCCATTCGGTAATAATGTGCGCTCAGATATAGGCTATCTGGGGATACGTTAAATGTACTGAATACATTTGGTAGTTTTACAGTTACTGAATTTTATGTATTTTTATTGTATCATTTAAAAGGGTGTTTTGCCTCTATCCATGGAGATAATTGTGTTTCTTCCCAATTATCTCCAGGATAGAGAGGAGGGGTTTGCTTTACAAAGGGGAGTGTTTATGCCTGAGCCACTGTGATTGGCTAATGTACCATACTTGTCCCATTCTTCCATCTGGTCCGCTAGGGGAGTGTCCACCAGGTGGGAGACCTGCATAAATACCGGGCATATAGCCCTCAATAAATCAGATTCCTGTTTTACCCTCAAGACGGAGCTTAGTCTCGTCTTTGGGGGGATTGCTACTTTGGATTATTCTTTTGCCTGTTCCAGGAGTTAAGGATTTCATATGATTCTCCATTCGGGAAATTGGAATATTCGTGAGTTGCTGGTCCTGTATCAAGGGGAGAAGGATTTTGTGTATTTTTCCAGTTTGGTGAATTGAAGCGTTCGTGAGTTGCTGTTCCCTTGTAAAGGTGAATCCCAAATCGGTATTAACCTTCACTATACTGGGTTATACCGTAACATGCGGGGACTAATTATTTTGCTAAACTTTTAGAATATTACAGGGACCAACCAACACATGCACCTTTCTTGCTGCCCCAGATTTATATTCACACTGATTTTTGGATGCACTCAATATCCTCACAAACTATCTTGCATGAAAAATTGAAAACTAAAATTCTTTTCAGAACTTTGGCTAAAAATTATTCCTTATAG